TTCCCTCTAATAATTGATCTTTTAACTCTCATTATTTCTTTCTTTTCGATTATAATTTTTCATCTTCTCTTCATGGTATACCTCTATGATAATTTATCTATTAATATCTCAATTAGTCCTTTCTACTCAGTTATAATTTTGTGGAGGCGATTTGTATTTTTGTTGATTTGAGGCGTCATTCAATAAGACAAATCATGGTATGGATTTTTGCTTATGTAAGTATAATATTTCGTCTTTTAATCGGAGACATTCACACTAAAGTTGAAATTATGTAGGCATATGAATATTTTTTGTGTAGATAAAGTGGCATATAAATTCTTGATGGAATAAGGTAACATTGTTTTAGCATAACAATCTCTCTTAATCTCTCAATTCTTCCTATATTTAGTTTTTGTGGAGGTGATTTGCATTTTTGTTGATTTGAGGCGTCATTCAAGAAGACATATATGATATGGGTTTTTATTAATGTAAGTATAATACTTCGTCTTTTAATTGGAGAGATTCACACTAAAATTGGAATTATACAAGCATATGAATCCTTTTTTTGTGTGGATAAAGTGACATATGAATCATTGATGAAATAAGATAACATTTTTTAAGCATATGTAGAATATAAAAATAAGTATTTTTTTGTTTGTTTATCCATGAACTTGATAAACATTATGCTAGAATATTTTTGCATTGATGCTAGAAGAGTGTATCAAGAAAGATGATTTGTGATTTTTTAAGATCGGTAATTTTTCATATGGTTTTTAAGACATCGATGTTGATCGGTCTATTGTGATTTTTTCCTTCTTTAGCATTGAGCTTGAAAATTATTTTATAATATTTTTACTTTTAAAGGAGAAATCAAACATAATAAGGTGTCATCATCTAAACATTAGAAACTTCTCATTCTTTTTTCTCAAATTTTTAATTTTTTAAAATATTTGATATATATGTAAAAGACTTTCCCGTCCCTATATTTAAAACATGAAATTCATTAGGATAAAGTTCTTTTAGTAATTTTAAAAAGTTTAACCAACAACCTTTTCATCTTCATTATTGGAGGTGAAACCTCCAAACCATTCCATATGCTTCTCTATGATTTGTCCATAAATAAATCTCTTTTTCTTCTTCTCTATCATTTGAAGTTTTCTTTATTTTACAAACCATTATTATTCAACAAAATCTTTTTTTAGGTAAACTTTTTTTACTCTCTCCATCACTTGATTTCTTCTTTACATGTATATATATTATATTATTTAGAAAACAGTATATTTATTAAATGTTTGATCATACAAGTTTCAATTATTTTTGTTTTGTACGCCTTACATATTGACTTTTACTATTTTCAAGTAAAATAAAATATGTCATATTAGAATTAATATACAAAATTTATATCATTATATAAAACTAAAAAAAACTTACTAATCAGTTAAAATCAATATATAGATAT